GGGGGGGGGGGGGCAAGAAGATCACTCTTATTAAGCACTATGCATTCCACTGCTCTGGTATCAGTTTGCCAGGATCTGCCGCCCAGTGTTGAGTGATAAGAAATAGAAATTGGGAGACCAGAGCCCTAGGTGCCAAGGCCTCCCCTGCAGCAGGCCTGGCCCTTCCCCAGCCTGGATCTGTCTATGACAACACAGCTGCCTTGTTGAATGGGAACCATGAGGGTGGCAGACAGCAGGGAGGAAGGATAGAGAGGGCATTTGCCAGTAGTGTTAAGACAAATGGCCCAGATCAGGGGCTGGGAAGAATAAGCCCTCCCTTCTCCCCAGAAACCCAAGACTGTCCATGGGCCTGTGGGAGAACCTGAGGAGCCTCCCGTGGCTGAGGCCTCCCTAGGATGTGTGCAGAGAAGGGCTGTTCTCTCTGAGGCTGAGGGCAATTGGACCAGCCTGGCCAGCTCGCTGTCCAGGAGCAGGACAAGTACTAGGGGCTCATGGGTCACTCCCTCAGAATCCCTGTGCCCTGCCCAGACCTCAGGCTGCCACACTGGATGACCAGCAAAGGCTGTGGTGCGGGAGGAGAGAACTGCTCAGAAGGAGCCTCCACAGAGCTGGCAGTGGCCCTGTCCCTGCTGCCTCTCAGCCTGCTTTGCCTCAGGGCCACAGTGACAGGCCAGATTTTAAAGTGTGTGCTCCTCTTCTGTGGGGTGGGGATTTCCCTAAAGCATGTCTTCAGTGGCCCTAGGGGAATGTATGCTTTCTCTGGTTATAAGACCCAAAAGACCACAGAGCGCCTAACCCGGGGGCAGTTCCCAGCCTCCCCTGGGGGTGTTGTGTCATCCAGTCTCCACTTCTTCCAGTGGAGCTCAAAGCCAAGTTCAGGGAGCCATTGGGCCCACAGAGAAGACCTTACTTACAGCCTGGTTGTCTTCAAAGGCTGCCGGTGTGCTGTAGTCATGGTCAGTGTCAAGTACCTGTGGTCAGGGACTGCAGGAGAGTCCTGTGGGAACTGGCCTGCTGTCTGGCACCCACTCCACTATATTGCACTATCTGCCATTGCCTTTAGGACGCTGCCCCCCAGGAGCCTGGCTCTGCTGCATCTTGATTCACTCTTGCCCCCTTTGACTGAGCCCTTTCCTGTACCTAGCAACCCACAGCTTTCAGGTGACCTTGAGGGTCCTGGAAATGGTCTTCTGTCTTGGTTGCCACAAACATGCACACACACACATGCACACGCACGCAGGCACACATGCCTGCTTCCCCATGCTTACCAGCCCTGGGGGTTAAAAAGCCCCTTCTTTGTCCTCTGCACATACATACATCATGCCCCTGCCCCGATCCAGCATTAACAAGGAGATTAATCAAAAATGTACTAAAGGTCTGATCATACATCATATACATATCATACCTACTATATATATAACACCATGTTATATACACACATATATGTAATATATAATATATAGGATAATCTGACCTAAGGAGGTACCAAAGACTTCGGGGGGAGAGTGAGAAGAAGCTGGGCAGTCAGAGCTCTGGATCCTTGACCCATCTTCATTCAGACCAGCTCCACTTTTATCTCATATATTGTACTTTTGGGTAAGATTTTAGAAGGAAAAAAATGTTTGAAAACCACTGGTTTAAGGCAGCCACTCCTAAGCCATCTGATACCAGAGTCACTCAGGGAGCTTTTAAAACTTGAATTTCCAGGTCTAACCCTCTCAGAATCTCTGAGGGTGGGGCCCGGGAATTTGTGTGTTCGAAGCCCACTTCCAGTGGCCTGTAGGTTTGGGATCCACCAAGGATGAGTGTAAGCCAGCTCCGTAGGCCACAGGGGGAAGGAGCCGCCTCAGGACACGGCCAAAAGACGCTGGCCCCGACTTCAGGAGCGAGCAGCAGCGATGGGAACACGGGCAGTCCTCGGAGGCACCAAGCGAGAGCCGCTGCGCAGAGGATGGAGAAGGCATCCTGCCACCGCCCGGCCAGCCCACAGCACCGCCCTGCCGGGCACAGGCCCATACAGGCCTCTCTCGCCAAAGCTGGGGGGCTGCTGAACAGGAGCATGTCTGTCTGCAGGCAGGGAGGACACTACTCAGAGAGGCAGTGGGAAGGCTGAGAGGGATGGGCTGTGGTGCGGCCACCTCACAACAGGCAGAGCTCCGAGGAACCCTTCTCAGCCCTGTGTGCTCATTATATTTACCTTGGAGCCCTAGAAACACTGATGCCCAGGCCCTACATTGACACATTAAAGCAGAGCCTCTGGGGGCAGGATCTAGTCATTGGCATTTTTTATAAGTCCCCAGGTGACAGGAACGCGGAAGTGTTGAAAACCATGGCCTGAGCAACTGTCTAGGCCAGTGATCAGTGGTGCCTACACCACCTAGGAACTTGAGGATTCTGAGGCCTCACCCAGACTTACTGGATCAGAAGCTCTGGGAGTGAGGCCCAGCAGTGTATGTTTTAACAAATCTTCTTGGCGACTCTGATGTAGGCTAAAGTGTGAGAATCGTTGCGTAGGCTGAGGGTTTCAGACTGTGGCTCCTAATGACCTCAGGGAGCTGGGGTGTCAGGACAGTCACCTCCTTCTTATCCACCTGCTTCACACTCCAGCTTCCAGTCACAGGTCCCCACTTTCATCTGTTTTGTACTTTAGAGTTCTGCATCAGAATTTATTTTGAAATAATAAAAATGTTTCTATGATGATTAAAGAAAAACAGTTTGAAAACTGCCAATATAGTCCAACCCCTCATTTTTCAGTTAGGAAAATCCAAATCCAATAAAAGGAAGTGGCTAGACCAAGGCCAGGAGGCCAGTGACCAGTACAGACCTGAGGCCAGGAAGGAGAGCCCCCAACTCTTCCCAGCACTTTCCCCTTCACGCCCCCTCCATGGCACTGGTACATGTTCTTTTTGTCCCACAGGTTGACCCCTTATGAGTGGTACAGCCCCCACTCATGTGCCCAGGGCCAGTGCAGCCTGCTGGTGAACCAGTACTCCCTTGGCAACAGCCTCTGGTTTCCGGTTGGAGGCTTCATGCAGCAGGGCTCCACCATCGCCCCTCGAGCCTTATCTACTCGCTGTGTCAGTGGTGTCTGGTAAGATTGGGGCAGAGAAGGGCCACATGGGGAAGGGACACAGAGGGTGCCCTCAGATAAGCCCTGCTCTGCCACCCTGAGGGGTGCCCGTAGCCTCTGCCTTTCAAAGTAGACTAGCTGGGAGCTGAGATGCAGTATGCCACCTCAGAAGGTTTGGAGGCAGTGGATGGGCACGCTTTGTGCCATCTTATCCCCTTCTCCCCTTTCTGTGCCCCACAAGTCTGGATACAGAGGGGAGCCAAGGCAGGAAAGGAGATGGATTGAGAAAACAGCTTTAAAGGCCCACAGCAAAGCAATAACTTTCAGACTTGAAAGTGAACTGAGGTTGAGGCTGGGCTGCAAAGGCATATGCAGATGCATGCAAATATGAGCTTGTGGCAGGGATTCCCTAAGGAGGCATCCAGCCCAGCTGCCACATCACACTCCTCTACCCGCTGTCTTTCCCTCTGCACCTGGCCCTGGGGGCTTTCCGGACCTATCCACCTCAGCAGGGGTGGGAAATGCAAATTCTTAGGCGGGGCCTCTGGGAGCAAGCTGACAGCACAAAGTCCAGCCTCTACCTGAAACTCCCTTTTCCTCCCGGCTTACCCAGAGCAAAAGAACACGGTCAGCTGACTCAGTGTGTGGCAAAGCTCTCCCGAGAACTTGAAAGTGCTGCGTAGATGTACAGACAAGTAATTCCTATTATTCCATGACGGGAGGAAATGAATGTACACATACCTAGAAAGGCAAGAGTGCAGAGCACGAGCTCCTAGCTCCCTCTAGAAGCCCACTCTTGGGTTTTGGCTGTCACAGCCTATAGGACTTGCAGCCTTGGCTCTCTCTTCCTCACCAGTCTGTGTAAGACTAAGAAAAGGACAAGTGTATTTCTACTATTGGACGCCCATGCCGGGAACAGCAGGTCATCTGCACAGGTATCTGAGGGCTGATGGGGATGTGAAAATACAGCTGGAACAGCGACCCCTTCCCAGCAGTGGTTTTGGTTTTCCCTAATAAATGACAAGTACACTAGGGTTTAAAACATTTGAACAAAGTGCTCACCTAGAAATCAAGTGGATCAGCATAGAGAACTGGGTTTCGCATTGCCTGAAACAAGGAATGATCTCGGTAGGGAGAGTCACAGAGCACCTTGAAAATTCAGGAAATCTGAGTGGAAGCCATGGAGACACATAGAAGTCAGCTGCAGATTCTGATCTTTTTCTACCTGGGGCTTCTCCTTACAGAAGGTGCTTGTTCCCGTGTGCTGTGCATCGGGCCCCATGGCCTGCCTGCAGCCCGCTTTGCGGGGCACTGCTTTGTGGTGCTTTCAAGACCTGGTCCCAGGTGGCTCAGCTGCAATGCTCCAGACATGTATGGGAGGGCCCAGCCCCAGCTCTGAGCTCGTTATTAAGTCAGGGCCTAGGTTTGGTAGCTCCCTGGGGGCTGGGAGGCCATCGTAGCCTACCTTAGCTTCCTCACCCAGAGCAAGTGACAGGAATGCCAACTTTACAGTGGTTAACACCTTTCCAGACAGGACCAGGTTTCCACAGCCCTGCGGAGAGAAGGTGGGCACGGTTCGCTTCCTCAGCAGAGGCAACAGGCCTGCACTGAACTACTTCCACTCTTTGACCCATCTGGTCTGTGGTGATGTGGTGATGGTGGCGGTGACGTGGTGATGGTGGCATGAACAGCCACATGCCCCCCAGGCTGGAGCAGAGGGAACCTCCATAGCCAACTCTGAGGTGATGTCATACCCAGGGCTCTTTAACCCAGAGCACTAGCCAATGTTGCTGAGCACAGCCACTTTCACCTGAGTGTCACCCTCTCCCCTCCCCAGCAAGGTCATGAGAAGCAACTTCCAATAGACAGAGCATAAGAGCTCAGACATGAGCAGGGGAAGAAGGTTTGAGTAGAGATGGATACTGGTGCTCACAGATCACACACAGGGAAGGTGGCCAATGACTTTCATCCCATATCAACGTGAAGGGCTAGTTCTGCATTTCTTTATATCTCACATTCATCTAGTTATTTACAGAGTATCAGTCCCACTGAGGGCTCATTTGATCTCACAGATCTGGAAGACAGACAGAGGAGGTGTTACCATCCCCTTTACTAGACATGCAAATAAGGTCAGAGGACACACGGTTCTTCTCAGGGTCTCACAGTGGAGCAGGACGAAGCCATCACTAAACTCAGGTCACCTTACTGGTGGTCTGGCACAAGTAACTGGTGGTCTGGCACATGAACACACCCATTGAGTCCTTGGGTGCCCCTGTCTACTTCTGGGAGGTAGCCCCCAGGAGCCCTGGACATCATGGCAAAGGGTTCAGCAAGACTTCCTGCTCTTGCAAATCCACCTGGAAGCTGCCAGCTGCTGAATCCTGTGGTAAACCCTATGCCTTAGTGGCAACATCTTCACAATGCATAAAGCCTCAATAATTCAGACTCCACTAACTCAGAATGTGTGATTATCCTACCTCAACTGTGCTTAGATACACCTTTGAACCCCTAAAGCAAATGGGTGAGGGTGCAAATCCATACTGCTTGTCTAAACTATGCAAGTGGACAAAGTGGTTTTAAAGGCTTTTGTATGTACTCTGCCTGAGTTGCAAAATTACTGTAATTTCAAATCAGTTCCATCTATGCAATAAAACACACTTCTATTTTGAAATAACATGAGCATTGTGAGTGTTTTCTAATTTCAACTTCTGAGCAAAGGTGCTTTTCAACAATCTTAAAGAATTTCTGCTGTTACAATTCATAGAACTGGTTTTAAAATATTAATTTATCAATGTGTTACTTGACAAGTTACTTTGCTTCTCTGAGCCTCATCTTCTTCAACTATAAAACTGGGGTAAGAATTTTACCTCTCTGAGCTGTACAGAGAGTGTGAGGTGGTCTCTGCGGCTATGGGAGGTCGTCAGTAAGTGGCAATGCTCATTTGAAAGTTGGCTGCATTGTGAAGGGACAGCCCAGCTCCGAATACAGCCCCAGAGCTTGCACCTTCAGCTCATCCCAAGCTCATTCCTTACTGTCTCTCAAACTATCTCATGTGTGTGGACACACCTCTGTTGAGTAACCACCCAAAAATCACCTCCTTTAGGACATAAGAAAAAAACTGTCTTCTTCTAGGCAGCCCTCACAGTTTACTGACATTGTGTCATTTCTCTTCCCCCACTAAGCTGAGAGCTGCTTTCAAAGAGGGACCGCTGGTCTCTCCTGAGTTGCAGCAGGACTAGGGATGGGGGCCAGGACTCCTGGGAGTGCCCCTGGTCATGATGACTCCCTGGTCTTTTCCTACATAGGTGGGCATTCACGCTGATCATCATATCATCCTACACGGCCAACCTGGCAGCCTTCCTGACTGTGCAGCGCATGGATGTGCCCATTGAGTCAGTGGATGACCTAGCTGACCAGACCACCATTGAGTACGGCACAATTCACGGAGGATCCAGCATGACCTTCTTCCAAGTAAGCATATTTGGTTGCTCACCAACATCAGGAATTGGGCACAATAAAGTTGAGATATCTTTCCACTGGAGATAAAAACATCTCTCCTCATCCCATTATCTCTTTTGAACATCTAGTTTGGAGGCTCACATGAGGTTTATTTTTTTCCTGCTCCACAAAATACCCCTGGAATGAGGCCTCCAAAGCACTTTGGGTTAATGTCAGCCTGTCCCAAAGTGTTGTACATGGACAATTAGTGGTCATTGAGATGATTTTAGGTAGTATTTGGCAGAAATATTTTTTATTGCAGTAGTTTCATTTATATTTTTTAATGAGTATTAGAAAAATACATGCAGTGGATCTAATCTATACTTTTATTTATATTACTGCATAGGATGAGGCTAATGTATACATTTAAATATTTTCTAAACTACTTAAATTTTATAGGTAGCACTTAGACAAAACAAGATTAGAAAAGTGACTAAAGTGTAAGGAAAGCTAGATTTAAATAGGCTGGTTTTATTGATCCCAGACTAGATGGGTTTCAGATAGGAACTCTAATGGCTTCTTTGAGGTACCCTGGCAAGGCCCAGGAGAAACCCTGCCATGGGGCTGTGCTAGCTGAGGGGTGGGATGACTGCGCCCCAAGGCTGACAGAGATGGATCAGACAGAGGGATGTCACCACAGGCCTCAGGATCCCCAGGGAAGCAGATTTCCCTGGGAGTTAATAGGCGTCTAACCGGTCACATTCATTTTCACATGAAACAAGTTCAAGGCCTTCAGTTTTCTGTTTTCATACAAGCCTCAGTGCCTGCTGACAAACACAGGATTTGGGTAGAGTCCAGAATGCTCTCAGTCTTGTTACTATTATTATCTGGCTGATCATTAGTTTAAGGTTGGTGAAAGAGCAGCCACTATTCCTGAAGGTGGTCTCTGTTGAAGTCCCAATGCTGCTGAAAGACAACAAAGAACACAGCCAGAGTCTCCTTTCATATCTACCAGAACCCAGGCTGCGCCAGGGCAATCTCTCCAGGGTAGATTAGGCTGCCAGTCACCAAACCACCAGGCAGAGGTCACAGTGCCTCCTGACCCTGCTCCTTCTGAGAGGCACCAGAGGCCCCACTCCCTTCTCCTGCCACTATGAGTGGCCGTTGAGAGATGACAGGAAGGGGGAAAAGGTTGACTATAATGAGGGGGTTGAGTAGCTGAAGGGCCAGAATTTTAAGGTCCACTTTGATTCCTTCACTTTTTAAACTAACATTTTCTTTTTCTTTTCCTAATCCTGTTTCCTTGCATTCTTTTCCCAGAATTCCCGCTATCAGACCTACCAACGCATGTGGAATTACATGTATTCCAAGCAGCCAAGTGTGTTTGTAAAGAGCACGGAAGAGGGGATCGCCAGGGTGTTGAATTCCAACTATGCTTTCCTTCTGGAGTCCACCATGAATGAGTACTATCGGCAGCGAAACTGCAACCTCACTCAGATTGGGGGCCTGCTGGACACCAAGGGCTATGGGATTGGCATGCCAGTCGGTATGCAGGAGAGGAGCCTCCTGGGGTAGCTTCATCCAGGCAGAGTCAGAGTAGCTAGAGCCACTGAACGCAGCACTGAATTCAGCAGCCCTGTTCCTAAGAAACAGTTTAACAGTGACTTTAGGTGGGCACTGTTGAGATTTTTAAGAAGAGCAAACTCACATGCTTCAACTAATCAGTGATCAGTTCTCAATCAATTATTGAAGGCTCATTGATTAGTTATTAATTAATTAATTAATTAATTATTAAATGGCATGTTGATGCCTTGGGTGGATTCTTTAGCCTTTGTTTCCCCTCTCCTGCTTCCTGCCCTTTGACCATTTCTCCATGATTAACATCTCTACTAGCAGTGGGAAGAAGGGAAAGATGGTAAAACTCAAATGAGTTAATTTTGCTATTAGTGTCTCTGGTGAAAGTTTTACTGCAAAAGAAGACTGGCATAATTAGATAAGATGGCTTTCAAGTCATCTGTGGGTCTCTGATGCCCCAGCTCTGAGTCAGCACACCTGAGGTTGGGGGTGAAGCTCTAGTACTCAGCTTGCTGACTGTGTGCCACCTGGTTTATTATAAGTGGGTAGATGTTTGGCTTCCAGAAAGTGGTCCCAGCTATGCTTTCTAAAGGATGCTTGTGCTTTGGATATTCCTCTAGCTCTAACGGAAGGTGAGGGGAGCACTTTTAGCCGCTTGTTGTGATTTTGGAGGGGATCTGAAATGTTTCCCAGGTGATTTGGACATGCACCCTTCTCCACACACCACTGAGAGCCACGCTGTGTAGGGCTGACCTCATCCAAGGCTGTTCTTCCACAAGGCAGCAGGGGAAGAAGCAGGAATTGAGGTTATCGGACCATGTGGGGAAGTTGATATATAGTATGTGCATCTTTGCTGTCATCTTACACATCCCTTCTCTTGATCTCTACCTAACTCAGAACTCTACAAATTACAGGCTTCGCGTAGACCTGTGCAGTGTGAAGAGCACTAGAGTGAAGTCAGGCAGATCTGGAATGCACCCTGGTTATTGGCTGTGGGACCTGGTTTAGGTTATTTAGCTTCTCTGAGTCTGTTATCTCATTTGTAAAATTAGGTTTCTAATACCTACCTGATAGGATTATTATGAGGGTTAAATCTAATAATCTAATCAGGTGCCTACCATAGTGTCTCACACTTAGCCTGTTTGGTGCCCTCCCCATCTTTTCCATAGTTCCCTATATTATTTGGTAACAGCAGATAACTTTTTAAAGAGTGATCAGAAACCACGCCAGTGAACATAGGTAGCCATATGCTTCATTCTTGAACTCTGTAAATTCTGACACTAGCAGTTCTATAAATAGGAGGTCTCCCTCAGGGTGCTCACAAACTGCATGCCCTCTGTGTGCCAGCATATGTTATTGATGCCCATTAATATGACAGACTATAGGTCCCTTGGAGAAACTTACTGGCTGACATTTTGTTTCAAGATCCTGTAGTGAACCACAAAATGAACTTAAGGTGTACCTTGATAATACTCTAGCAATAAAACAAATTAAACTCAAATGTTCAATGCTTCAAAAATTTTCATGGACCAAACTGATAGAGAGTTGACATAAAGCAGACTGACTCTATAAATGTTCATCAATAACCAAGGAAACAGGAGGAGAAATGTATTTGTTCTGTATCTGACAGGCTGCTATTTCCACATGTGTTGTCTTATTTAATCTTCCCACTTTTGAGGTAGATGTGGCCCTTCCCTCTGGAGGATAGGACTGAGATTCAGAGCTATTGGGCTACTTGTCCAAGGTCCCAGAACAAGTAGAGAAGCAAGTTAGACTTGAGCCTAGACCATGTTACCAGTGGGTCCTACCAGCTGGAAAGGAGGAGGGAGGGGCAAGCAGGAGGGTGCTGTGGGCTAGCCTAGGTTCTGAGATCAGGTTGATAGGATGGAATTTAGGTCCAGCTCAGGTTAGGTCCAGGAAAGGCAAACCTGTGTGTCATTCTTAAGCTGGAGGTAAGGGCATAACTACTGAATAAGCAATGTGGTTTAACCCAGGAAAACAAAGGGAAACAGAACAAGGAGTGCAGTGGAAAATTAGTCAGGTGTTTAGGAGCTAAGTAGGCAAACACAGAGTTGGTGGAGTGTCCCCTCATGGGGCCCCGGTGTGCTGTGGAGGTTTGGTTGAAAATGCCTCAGAAACTACCTGAAATGCCTTGCTGGGCTGGATAGTTGTCTTCCAACTTGGAATGTTCTTTAGTCCATCCCTAACACCGTCCATTAGTTCAAGTGGCTATTCACCACAGACATGAATTAAGTATACTATTCATGAGGGTCTGTTGCTATGCACCCAAATCAGTTGCAAAGACACATTGGGGGCTGCAGGCTTGGGGCTTGAATGCCCAAGCCCAGTCTTGCCTGTAGTGGGGAAGGTTCTATTTGTAAAGTCAGGGCTGTCAGAGCCCAGAGAGATCTGGGAGCTGACCTGGTTCCTTGCCTGTCAAAGCGCAGCCGTTGGCTCCGCGGCAGGGCGTCACCTTGGAGCTTATAGAAATGCAGACCCCCTGAGCCAGAGTCTGCAGTCCACACGATCCTCAGGTAACTCCTGTGTACACTGAAGTTTGAGAGCACTAATCTACTTGTTCCAACCTTTGCCTGAGTTCTTCACCAGAGCCTGTTTCCTGGGATATCTGTTCACATCAGGCCTTCACAGAGCTTGGGCAAGAACCCTGGGCAGCTTAGTTGATTTCCAGCCTCTTGGTAGTTTTTCCCTAATGATATCAGGCCTCAGCATGTGCCGGGGCATTGAGCACTCCACAATTTTATTTAAGTTTGTTTTTGTTTTTGTGATTACATCTAAATTTTAGAATCAAAGCTCCTTCACCAATATGGTCAAGAAAATTTTAAAAAGAGTCGTGCTGAACAGAAGCCATCTGAGTGAGGAGGGAGGGAGGAGCAATGTGAGCAGGTCTGGGGCACAGGGCAGGCAGGTGTGACGGTGTGGCCTGCCTGGTAACTGCATTCTCTGCACAGATGTAGAAGAGGAGCTACACAGTTGTCAGGTGTGGTGTAGAAAGAGTTATAAATGCCTAAGAAATTAATTTAAATAAAGTAGAAAATAGACAACTGCCCACCTGAGAGGTTATGTCGCAGATTTCCCTCCTTGGCCTCCTGGAGGCAGAGGCGAAGCTTTGCAATCAGCTTCCCGCCTGTCAGTTGACCTGGACAAAGAAGGGTAGCACTTGGTGCGGAGGAAGGGGCCACACTGCCTAGGAAGCTGTCCCTTGACCCACACTGGGGTCTTGGCCAGGGGACCTGCCAGTCAGTGGGAAGAGAAGGAGGGTAGAAATTCCTGAGTGCCCAGCATGAAGCCAGAGTTCCTCTTTTCCACAAAGTACTCAGACTTAGCCCAGAGGGGAGCGCAGAGGGGAGGTAGCAGAGGAGAGAGCAGAGGGGAGGCCAGAAGGGATAGAGCAGAGGGGGGAGAGCAGAGGGAAGCCATGCTCCTGGGGTGGGGCACCCATCGCTTCATCCCCTCCCCCCCAAGGTTAAGCAGGCAGATTGGCCGGGGGTTTCCCTAGAAAGTGGCAAAGTGCTCCACAGAAGGACACTTACGTCCTGTCCTGTGTTCTGGGCCCTCCTGTGCGCAGGTTCGGGGTTCCGGGACGAGTTCGACCTGGCCATCCTCCAGCTGCAGGAGAACAACCGCCTGGAAATCCTGAAGCGCAGGTGGTGGGAAGGGGGCAAGTGCCCCAAGGAGGAGGACCACAGAGCCAAAGGTAAGGGCGCTGCTCCTGGTGCACCCGCTCCCCACGGCGCCCAGGGCACTCTGACAACATGTCTTGGGAGGAACCTAGGGCTAAGCTGGGGCTGCCTGGGGTCAGTCCTTTCTCAGGGTCCTGGCACATCGTAGAGACTGCTTCCACCACACCTCCCGCATCCCCCACCTCTGACCCCTGGCACCAGGCTCCTGCCCTGGCTCCTGCGGTCACCTCAGGACTGCGACTGAAACAGGCTGTTCCCCTCCCATCCTTGCCCCTCACAGTGTTCTCCGCCAGCAGCCACAGTGATTCTTTTAAAGACACGAATAAGATGGCAGCATGAGTCTGCACAAACCTTCCCGTGGTTTCCCATGTCACTCAGAATTAAATTCAAGCTTCCTGTAACCGCAAGTCCCTACTGATCTGTTCTTCCCTCAACTGTCTGCTTTTCTTTCTGTTCCCCAAGCCTCCCAGTTGCTGCCACCTCAGTCTGCACTTGTTTCCTCCTTCTGGCCTCCCTCAGAGAGATCGTCCTCTGCACCTACACACACCTCTCCCCTTCACCTGAACCCTTCATCAGACTTCATCACTATCTGATACTATATTTTCCATTCACTCATTGTTTACTCCCACCTCCTCTGGCATAATGCCAGTGTTCTTGAGGGCGCTGGTCTTCACAGAGCTGTCCATAGGGTTTGGCACGTGGATATTTTATTTGAAGGAATGAACTAATATCAAATCAGGCTGAATAAAGAGCAGACACTGAACTAATGTGCAGCCGAGGGTCCCTGAGCACCCAGGATTTCTTTAGGGGACACATATACTGGTTTGCCCAGAAGAGTCCCAGATCACACCCGCTGTCAATCAGTTAATGCCTGTTAGTTACTTTTAGAACCACCCTCATACTCAGAATGTCCTAGTTTGCACAATAAATCATATAGCTCACCCTAGTAACCTATTGCAGCCTTGCCAAAATATGCAACAAATTTACCGACATGCTCCCTCCCTTGGGAGGGCACAGAGGAGTGAACTGAGTCACAGCACCATGTGCTTCCCCTTCCCTCAACATGATGAAACAGTGAATGAGTGCCTCTGGGTTTCTTGGCCTCTCTAGGTGGCTCTCTATCCTGAGAGGAGAGACCCCAGGAACATATACCTACATGGGCAAGCCCTTTGCAGTTTTGAGGAAATGCTGCCCCTTCCATCACAGGAACCTAGTGAGGCCACACCTTTCCTGCTGTCCCCTCCCGAAGGTCAGGTGTGAAGCGAAGGTTAGGAATGAACAGGAACTCTGCTCATTCAGAGAAAAGAGAAGTGGGGGAGGTACAGAAACAAACGTCAGGGACCTTTGTGGATTGGATAGAATGAACCAGGTGTTGAAGGTGCCCAGCCTGAATAGATGCGGGGGGACTACAGGCAACTGGCCCCTGAGGAAAGGCATGGAGGGGGAATTATGCAGTGGGCAGGGCTGTGAGCAGAGACTAGATGTTGCAGGTGGTGCAGAGAAAGATCCCCACAGAAAGAGGTGGGCTGCCTGCAGGGTTTACACCAGGGAAAGTGTGGGCAGCCCTTCCCAGTAAAAAGACACATGACTGAAAGCAATCTACACCTGACCGGGCCTGGAATAGTCAAAATAAAATGAGAGTATTATTAGGGTTAATATGTGTTAGTGTTCTGTGATATCAGTGATAACATGGGAGTGGTGGGAAAGAAGGCCATTTTAACTATTGATCTGAAGCCTTCTAAAATAGAAGTGGAGATGTAGGCCTGGGACCAGAGTGAAAGACCTGACGGATTAGCGAAGCAGGAAAAATGTCCCAATACACCCCTCCCTGGAAGCCATTGGTCCCTCTCTCTACCCACGTCCTGACCTGTGCCTGTGGATGGGGCACTCAGCATAGGACCTTGCACTTCTTGGCCTCCCATGCATGGATGATGGCACCTTAGACAGGGACCCAGTCCTATTGGCTTCTGTGTCCCTAGCCTCCCCCACAGAGCCTTGCACACGGCAGGTAGTCAATAAGTGTTTGTGGGTTGTGTGATTATACCAACCGATAGCTAGCAAAAGCAACCAATTACTGAGTTCTCCTGGGCCACACTAGAGGGCTTAATGAAACTGTGCTTGCAAGTACTTTTCTCAGCCTTTATACCCAGAGTTTTCTACACAGTCCAGTTGTTCCTGCCTCTGAATAGCTGAACATATGAAGATGAAGGAGGCCAGAGGAGACAGGCCATGGCCTCTGAGCCTCCAAGCCTCTGAGTGGTGCAGGGAATGCCACTGGCCCCTGCTGGTAGCCACCAGGCTGCAGCTCCAGATGGCTTTCAGGGCTTGCTTCTCTCCTCCTTCCCACTGGTTGTGGATTTCCCCAGCTTTCCTTTCTGTTATAAATCTGATCCCATTTCATCACTTGGAGCTGGTTTTCCTTGAGTCACTCCTGAGTTAATCCCACTGTCCAGTTTCCCCTTTCATCCCTGACCCCTAAACCTAGCCACAGGCCCTTCCCTTTTGTGCACTCGTTTACTTATTTATATTTGTTTATATATGATTTCAATCCTACAGAGAAACAGCAGTGGGCAGTAAAATTGGCAGACACATGGGTATCTGGGTACCTTAGAGTTTTCACTCAGGGACCTTGATTTAGATCCTCTCTCTCCCCTTTAGATGTCCCCCAAAGTCCAATGGACTTTTTTTATTTTCGTATCCCTAACCCCCACAAATGAAGCTCTTCAAACGTTTGCCTTCCTGTATACCTGTTTGTTCTGTTCACAGCCACTAGGACAGTTCTCTTCCCTGAGACAGCTTTCATAAGATTTGAGATGGTGGGCAGTGGGTGAAATGGACTCCACTCCATAGATGGTCTTGTTATAGACACTACGAAAGGCCACTGAGTCTCCGTTTCCCTCTATGGGAAACAGAAATAATAATAATTCCACCTTCAGGGCTGTTATAGAGATTGAAGGAGTTAAACCATGTTAAACAGCACAAAGGAAGTGAGTACACATTTTATTCTAAATTCTTCGCATTGAGGAGCACTAAAGAGAATGGGGGTCTAAATAGTGTCCACAGCACAGTGCGCCTGCCCTCTGCATGCTCCTTACAGCTAGACAGCGCTTCTAAAATCAACACGTAGGACATTTATTTTGTGTCTGTTGATATTCAAGGTCAGGGACTATCTTTCATAGACTGTGAGAAGCTCAAGGTCAGGGACTGTCTCTTCCTTATTTTTGTATCCCAGTGACCAGCATGTTACCTGTCATCAGTATTTGATGAAAGATAAACAACGAATGAATGAATGAATGAATGAATGAATGAGCAAAACTCAAGGAGCTTCCTCCAGCCTGGTACCATTTCCACCCTCATCCTATGTCTGTTTCCTCCCCAACAGGAGCACCAACACCCGGTGTTGGCTTAAAAATGTACACAGAGTCCCCACTGTACCCACAAACACTGCAACCACTGCCCATCAGGCACCGTGCTAAAAAGGAGATATGGCCCTACTCTCAAGGGGGTTAGGACCTAGGGAGAGGCACAGATAGTCTAGCGTGGTCGCACTGTGGGAAGTGTTATGAACCCAGTGGAAGAAGTGATTAATTCTGAGTGAAGGTCAGGGGATGCTCTGCAGAGATATTTGGCCTGGACCTCGAAGCACTCATTAGGAGTCACCATTTCAGGAATGCTGGGGGCACAGTTTTTGCACTCAGAAATTGCTTTGAGGGAATTGAAAACTGATAAAGGCATTTGGACTTCAAACCAGTATGTCCCGGACTTTCCCACAGAGAAAATTAATAGCAGAGGAAACTGAGTGTACATACACTCTTGGGATGTGGGGACATGGTCCCAAGCGTCTCTCCTACCATGCTTGGAATTTCCTTAAAGTGCTCTGTTTTGTCCTACAAGCACATGTGAATTTTGTATCTGACAACATAATGTAGGCATGTTTATTTAATGTAAATTGACATTCCAGGAAGATGCCCCAATGACATCCCAGAGCTTTGCTTGTGCCTTGGCACATTAGTATCACACCAAACTGGTTTGAGGGTATCGGCTGCAGGCCTCACAGGTCTGGGTGAGGTGTGGCATGATGAATGCAGGCCTGTGGGGTAGAATTCTGAACTCTTAGTGGCATTCATGGTCCCCGGAAACAGTCATTGCCTCAGGAAGAACACAGTCAAATTGGCTTTCAGTTCCAAAAGAAACCCTTACAATTCATAGCAGAAAAATGTTCTTAGGAGCCATGGTGTTTGGCTTGCTACAAAATATTTTGGAATACAAAAGACTAACACCTGAAGGAAGCTTGGCAGGAAGTTGACACTAGAAGTTAGAGAGTGAAAAAGAATAGCAGAGCCAGGCCGCCTCAGCTGCAAAGGATTCCCTGTTCAGGACAGGGAACTTCTGAGCAGCAGAGGACATGTTTGAATGTGGCAGGTCCCCAAGAAGGAGCCTTGTGTCCTGCTGGGAGGTGGAGAGTGGCAGATAAAACTCCTAGATTAGCTGGGGATTCCAAGAGATAAACAGATTTTTGCTGGAGTTTGGCAAGCCCCAGAAATATATGTCATGCCTCAGTGCATCGAGGACATGAGAGATGGCACACGGGGACCCAGGCAGGGAGGGCCGAGTGGCAGGTCTGCGCTTTCCTGGACCCCTGACGAGAATATTGGAAATCTAAGTGGAATCCAGCATAGGGTCAGGTGCTGAACACCACTCCCAGCCATTACACATCATCTCCTTTCCAGTCTTAGACCTGAAAAACATCCTTGGTGAAGGGGGAACAGAGAAAACACTGCATTTAACTGAATTTAAAACTGAAACGCATGGGAAGTTTGTGCATTTTTGGCAATCAAGTGGAAATGGGAATTTGCAGTAGAAATTAGGCACATTTATAGAAAAATTGTTCTTGTTTTTGTAGAGTGGTTGGTTTAGAAAGACTGACCTGACAACAGAGTTCAGGGTGGTTGGGAAAGGGGGACGCAGGTCAGGCCCCAGGGAGGATGGGGGGCAGGAGGCTTCTCTCTTCTCC